CCCCCCCCCGCCGTTCGCCTCCTTTCTCTGCCCTCCTCCTCGCGATGGTACTGGCGTCCCCTGTCCCATCACCTTCTCGCCTGCCCACTTTGCTCCGCAGCCATCTGCGCGCCCCGCGCTGGCCGGCTCGCCCCCTCTCCGCTGCTCCCGCCATTGACGCCCTTGCCTCCCGAATCCGCCGGTAGAAATTCCGCTTTTGTGGCGACCTTGACTGCCCGGACTGGCTGCTGGCCGAGATCAGTCTCCTGAGCAAGTTGGTACGTCGGAATGCCGTCTCGCCCATCCTCCCCCGCGGTTGTCAAGCGACTGACGTCCAGCTTTCTCTCTCTCACACACACACACGGACATACATGGCCATATGCCTGCATAGACCTCCGTCCGTATCAAGTTGCTCAGCGTGCAGGTCATTCACGCCCTGACTGGCGGGCAGATCGACGTGCGTCTGTCCCCCCCCCCCCCCCCGCCCCCCGCGTGGCGTTCCCCCCTTTTGCCAGCATGTGTCTCGCCCCTCGCCTCCAGCCTGAATCGCCCGACTGACCGCCACTCCGAAGTATGACCGTGTTCACATGCTCGTGTCCATCATTCACCTGAGCGAGGCCGACACCAAGGCCGTTCTGGCGGCCCTGTGGTTCATCATCTCCTCGGCCGCCCGCGTGGAGATCTCCCGCCCGGTCCTGGCGGATGAGCTCCAGCAGCTGGGTCTGCCGCGTGGTACGTGCTCTCCCGCCCCCGCCTCGCGCCCCTTCTCGCCGCCCGTTCCCTCCTTCCGGCCGGGGGAGCGGCGGGGCCGGGGCCGTCCCAGGGGAATATCCCCCCCCCCCCCTCCCCCTCTCCCCCGGCTGGCTCGGCCTTCCACCCTTCCTGACATCGGCCTCCGCCAGAGCACTGCTTCTCCATCAGCAAGGCCTACGAGCAGCACCGGGTCCACATTGTTGGGTACCTGCGCCAGTCCTCGCTCCGGGGGCCGCGGCTGGTGGGCATGCCGGAGTGGCGCGTCGGGTACACCCTGGCCTCCGGGTCGACGACCGGCGGGGTGTGCTATTCGCACACCGCCAAGGCCGGGCCCTTTGCCACCCTCTCGCTCAAGTACCAGCCCTCGTACGAGGATCGCACGCTGCTGCGCCACACCCTGCAGGCCGCCACCGCCGGGGCCACCGGCCAGGTGAAGTCCCTCACCTTCGACATCGACCGCGACACCCTGTCCGTCCTGATCCGCGGTGCGTCCCTCCTCGGCGCACCTTGCCGCCGCCGCCGCTCGGGCCCTTTTCCGCCCTCTCCTCGCCCCTGCCCCCCGCCAGCGCGCCGCTCACCCGCCCGCACCGCTGCTCGTCTTGGGATTGGTGTCCTCCCCGTCGCAGAGCTCAAGGAGGCGCGCAAGTGCATCATCTCCCCCCCGGCTGCCGCGGCCACCAACAACTAGGGCCCACCCCCCCCCCCCCCTTCTTTCCCGAAGTACGGGCGCGAGGAAGCGGCCCGCCCCTGCTTCGCCCCTCTCCCCCGCCTCTTTGTCTGTTGCGATCGAGATGATGAAAAAAAAATAAAACCCCTCCTGACGGCGCGCTTTGCCAACCGGGACACACAGGGAGGGAGATGCGCCGGGAACAGGCCGGACTGGGGGTGCCCCGGCCGGCGGAGGGAGGACCCCAGGGGATGGCAGACGGGAAAGCGGCCCCACCGCGGCTTCGGGCAAACAGGAACTCCCGGCCAGAGGTGCGCCCGGCCGCCCTCCTCCCCACCCCCCCCCCCCCGCCACACCGCGAGACAGAATTCAATGTGTTAAGTATAAAAAAGGGGGGATAAGATGTGCAAGTCATTGGAGGCCGCAAGAGCACGGGAGAGGAGGCTCATACGATACTATGATGCTTGCTGGAGGCGCGAAGCCGCCATGGATGTGTCCCACCGATGGTGGCACTCCCCCCGCGAACTCGACGCGGCGCACGCGCGGGGCCCACACCCTCCCCCCCCCACCAGGCCCTCTTCTCGACCGGATGTCCAGCCGCCGCGCGGGCACACAAGAGCGCATGCACGCACGCACGCACGCACACGCGCGAATGCCACAGCCCCACCCCCCGGACCCCGCAGCACCCCGCCCGCCCGACTCCAGGCCCCCAACAAGCCGACCAGCCCGCCGGCCGAATGCGCACGCACACCCCCCGACACACACACGTGGACGCACACGCACACCCACCCGCACTCGCATGCATGCATGCATGCATGCGCGCGTGCAAATGCACACACATGCCAAAAGGCGCAAGCCATCTGTGAGTCCCCCTCCCCCTCTGACCGGCTGACGGGCACGCTCCGCCGCACGGCTCGCGCGCCCTGCTCCCCGGCACTCGGCCCCCCGCCGTCCATCCTCCCAGGACTCCACCTCGCGACAGAGCCCCCGCAAGCCCCTGGACACTGGCCACACGTGGACAGCCATGCGGATCTCGTGCACCACACACCCCGGGGCACGGACAGCCGGGCACAACCAACGACGCTCCCTCTCGGATCGCGCCGCCTCCGCCCGACGCAGACGCCTATCTCCCCGGTGGACGTGCATCCCGAAGAGCCCACCTCTCTCCCTGCGGCCGCCAAGCACACGCCCACGTCCACACCCGCACAAGCGCACACACACACACCGACACACATGCAGGGGGGGCCGCCCCCTCCACATAGGGCGCGCGGGCGTATCCAGTGCGCAGACCTCCCCGGCGCCGGGACACCGGGCCCTGGAGCTCCGCGGAGACCGAGAACCGGAAACCGCGGCGGCTTGACACGGATCCACACACCCCAGGCGCCGGCTGCACCCGGAAAGCGCGACGCCGAGACCCCGCCCCGCCCCCCCCCCGAAAAAGGGGGGGGGGGCAGGAGGAGGACCGGCGCGCGCACCGGGACACAAGAAAGCCAAGAACCCAGTGAGGTCGGACCCGGCGCCCCGGACACCGAGGAGGCTTTGGGCAGCAGAGGACACGCGCGCGCGCGCCCGCGGAGTGTGCGGGGCAGAGTCCCTGCATGCGTGATGATGTGCGCTTGCGCGCTTGTGCTTGTGCGGAGATGCAGACAGGCCGGCGAGCACGCAGGGAAACAGGTGTGCCAAGAAGCACGCCCACCGGGGAAGGGCAGACTGCCGGGCAATGGCGACGGGCAGGAGAGGGGCGCCATTGGCCGTGGTTCCCCCGGAGCCCATGCGCACCGGTGGTGTGCGTGTGTGTGGAGCACAAGACCGATGGCAGTGTGACACAGCATCAAGAAGCCGAAGCAGCGGAGAAGCAACGAGGAGGAGAGAAAGGAAGGAAGACAGGGGAGAGGGAGGAGCAGGGCAGGACGAGCCGAGGAGAGAATACACGCCAGCCGGCGCAGGGGGGGGAAGGGCAGATGGCAAGCAGGCAGGCAAGCACATTTTCACACACACACACACGCACGCACACCGAGAGAGCGAGCGAGCGCGCGCGCACGCGAGCCACGCGTACGAGAGGCACACAAGCACACACGGCCAACGGCCAGACGACCAGGACGCCGGAGAAGGGGAAGAGCAAGGGAGGCACGAGAAAAAACCCGAGGGGCTGATGAGGGGCCAGCACGCGCGCGCGCGCGCGGTGGCGCGCACACACAGACGCACAAGTGTACACACGGGCGCGCACACACAACCATGCTGGGCTCACCCCCCTCCGAGGAGGGAAATGGGCTCACACACACGGCGGCCATGGCGGACAACGACCGGAGAAGAGGAGCACAGGCAGTTTGGGATGGAGGGCAGAGAGGCATTGGCGACGACGCGAAGGAGGGGGGAGGGTCGGCGGGCGGCAGAAAGGGGGGAGTCGAGGTGTCAAGCCAAACTCCTATGCTCGGCCCTCCGCACCGGGGACGGCAGCGAAGCGCCCCCCCCGGCGGCAGGCTTAAATACACACGCGGCGCCGGGGCACACGCGCGGCAATGGGCGCCCTCAGAGGAATGGCATTCGCTCGGGGCCTGCTCTTCACGTGAGCGCCGATCACGCCGTGCGCTCAGGCGCCCGCCCGCCAGCCGTTCCTCCCGGCCCCCGGGCGCCGGCCGGCGGAAGCCACTTTGCCCGGCCGAGGCGGCGGCCGTGCTCGGGGACCGGGCTTTCGTGCCCTTGCGAGAGCCGGCGCCCGGGCGCTTTTCCCGTGTGCCGAGCGGGGGGGGGGGGGGGGGTCCCGGTCGAGAGGGCAGGCGCGGGTGTCCAGGGCCGGTGCGCGCATTTGCGCGCGCACCCGGAAGACACGCCAGCAGCCGGATGGTGCGAAACCCCCCCCCCCCCCCCCCCCCCCCCCCCCCCCCCCCCCCCCCCCCCCCCCCCCTCCCCCCCCCCCCCCGCCCCCCCCCCCCCCCCCCCCCCCCCCCGCCGGGCTGCGCTTGCAGCCTGGCCCGGGGCAAAATGCGACTAGCCGCGACGCCGGCCCTTCCATGCTGCTCGGGTTCCGGTCAAACGGCCAAAAAGGGGCCCGAGGGGTCGCGGCGGCGGCGGCGGCGGCGGCGGCCGGCAGGATGTCTGGGGCCCCGGGCATTCCGGATTAATCCGTCGGCCGTCGCCGGCCCACCTCCGGCACATCCTCTGTCACCCTTGGCGGCTATGTGTGTGGGTCTGTTGCAGGTATGTGGGGCAGGGGGGACTGCGCGCGCGCGCGCGCGCGGCGGTCGATGACAGATTCCGCTCCCCGGCCTCCTTTGGGAACAAACGGGCGATCACACATTGCCGGGGTGCCGCTCCACTCCGCCGCGCCGGCGTTGTGGCGTATCCCCCTCCTCCTCCCTTTTCCGACGCGCGGAGGGGAGAGGCGCGCTCCTCGGCCCCCGCTGGCGCGGCCAGCTTTTTCGGCGCATCACCCCGGCTGCCCGTCCGGGCCCGCAATGTAGACCACCCCCCCCCCTCCTCCCCCCCCTCGCCCCCTCCCCCC